GGTACCTCCCATACAAAAGTGTCAATTTTTTGAGGTTTTTCTTAGGGCAAGTACCCCAGGCGAAATCAAAATGGCTCAAATCGAAAATGGCTCATCTTCGAACTTAAACTAAGTTTTTCGAATACAAAACTTTTGGCTCTTCCAGATTTTGATTATCTCAATTATTTTTTGAGTTATCGTGTTAACACACACCAACGACGACGACGACAACGACGACGGCACACGAACGAAAAAGTGTCTCAAAAAGTGGTTTTCTACGCGTTTCATGAGTTTTTATGATGATCTAAACCAATTTTGCGAAAAAAGTTTTCGGGACCAATTCCTATACTTTCCCTTGACACGTTGTGTACGGAAAAGTAAAAGGTTAAATTTATGATTGCAAAGATTCATGATGAACGATTGGAAAGAAACGCATTTTTTAAATTCAAGTACACTCACATTGATACAAAATGTCGAATGAATGGAAATGATCAGCATTTTGATACAAAGTATTTGTTTGACTACTCGTCGACTATCTATACTTGCCTTATCGAAGCGGTGCCAATCAATTGTTGTTAAAAATAGTTCCACGTGTATCTCATTTAAACCATATTCACTGTGTAAATATTTAGAAAGAATAAAAGTCCCACAGATAGGCAAATAAAATGCACACACATAAGAGAATTCTCTGAAAAGTTATTCCAATTTTAATTAATAAATCCATCAATTACAGTTAAAATCAAATGAAAAAAAAAAACGTTCATAGAAATTGAAACTCAAACGGAACATTTAGTCATCATCATCGCTGTTATCGTGTTTTCTCTTCAAGCTGCCGAACACTTTTTCGGGGATTGCTTGTTTTTCGATGTTTTTAATGACTTTCGCTTCGACATTATCATTTATTGCATCGTTATTCTCTTCTCCTTCCTCCTCCTCCTCTTCCTCATCGTCATCATCATCGTCGATGTCGATTTCATCCGGATTGACGACCTTATCTTTCTCAGTGAGTCCGGTGGTTTCGCCTCGTACAAACATAATATTATTGTTGGATGCTTTGGCTGGTGCGGCTGGTTTGCTTTCCATGGCTTTGGCTTTGGCTTCCAAAAGGCGCATACCATCTTTGGGTGGTTCAATGGCCGGTGCGCCCGTGCCCATCATTTGTGCCGCCATCATATTGACCTGTGTATTGTATGTCGCCTGAATACTACGTTTGATACGCAACATTTCACGCATTGTATCTTCGTTACCATGCCGAATTTCAAACTCTTTCCACGTTTGCCAGAATTCGGCGGTGATTCGAGGATCGCACATTTGACTGCAATGCGCATAAATGGCACGTGCCCGATCGATTTCACCGAGTTTCGTTTCCATTTCAGCGAATCGTATGCACATATCACGCGCTTTATCCTCGGGCAATACTTCAATGGCCTTTTCGAATATTTGCCGAGTGCGTGGCAGTCCATAGATTTCGGCCGCTTTCTTGATATAAATATTGAACATATCGGTCATTTCAGTGTCTTTGACCGCAGTCGTTGCACGTTCGTATACAGCCATTGCATGACGGGCCAAACCATGCTCTTCCTCCAGTTTTGCATACAGCAAATAGAAACATTTACACAACTCGGGTGGACAATTTTCCAAACATTGTTCAAACAAATCGCGAAGACGTTCCAATTTGCTGCCACCATAACGTGCCAAAAATTTGGTTAGATAAATATTCCAAATGTCATAGACATTTGGCCATTTAAACAGTGCAATGCCCTTTTCATAGGCACGGAACGCCTCTTCAAAGTAGTTATTCTCCTCCAGAAACATGCCATAGTTGATGATGATTTGTGGTGTGCAGATTTTCAAATCGATTATGCGATCGTAAACGGCTTTGCACGTTTTGAATGTGCCAAAACTCTCCTCAAAGTCTGCATAAGTGGCCCATAGTTTCAGTGATTTATACAAACGCATTTGAACGGATTCCTTTTCGTCGTGATAGGCAACCTTTCGTTTAGGCATTGCCGTAGCGCGTTGCATGAGTTTCAATGCACTTTCGTATTGCTCTTGACGCACTTCCATTTCGGCCCATTCACACCACACGGCCGCCAAATCGTCCACTTTTATATACTCCACCTGGGTACCCTTTTCGAAAACAATGCGAGCATCGTCGATTTGGTCATTCTTTTCGTAGAATTTCGCAAACTCAACCCATAGCGTGTGCAATTTACCAACGGCCAACTTCGGTTGCACGGTTTGAACAGCCTCTGTGTACGTGGAAATGATTTCATGCGGTTTTCCCTCGTACAATTGTACGCGTTTATGCCATTCGGGAACGTTGTGTGGATTTTGACGCAGCAAAACACTGTTGAGCAACAGCAAACGACGATCCATGAGGTATTCAAAACGTGCCATTCGCAAATCAACATCAATTTCATCTTCTTCGCTTGCATTTGCTCTGTTTGCCAGCTCTTCCATTTTCTTGCTCAAACTCAGTTCCTCGAATTGGGCGTATGCATCAAACACTTGAGTAAAATCACGCACCGTTGTCACCGTTTGGATGGCTTCCTCGTAAATGTCACGGGCACGATCAAACAAACCGCTTCTCACATAGTAATTTGCTAGCGATGTCCAGAGATGACCCAATTGATCGGTGTACCGACGCAAACCACCACGAATAATGGCATCAATATTCAGCGAATGCACTTTATCTGGGTTCTTTGATATCAATTCGCATAATTCGTTCCACAGTTGATGGTTTGATTTGCCGTGTTTCGATACAAAATGCTCATTGTCAACGACCGATGCCAATTGTTGTGCTGCCTCATCCAATCGACCGGCATCCGTGAGATATTCAATGTACTCTTCACTGTCTTCGGGATAAAGTTTCAAGTAACGACGATAAACTCGCACCGCTGTTTCCGGAATGTCAAATTTCTTGAGGAAACTCAAGTAGAGTGGCCAAATTCGATGGTGCTGTGTAATTGGCAGCGCACGCAATGCCCGGTCGAATACGTGACGCGTTCTTGTTATCTTACATTGATTCACCATAAACGAACAGTAATCCATCCAAATGCGTGGCATTTTGTGCATAAACACCAGCGATCGTTCGAATGCATTGTTCACTTCCTCAATCAACGGATCATTTATGGCTCGGCCACGGACTTGCTTGCGTCTCGTTCGCAAATAATTGTACCACAGTTTATATGAACCGGGTAACTCTTTGAGTGCACGTTCAAAAACAATATTTACGCCAAAATTTGGTGAATTCTTCTTGTGTTCGATGTAGCGCAACCAATGTTTCACTGAGTATGCATTCCGTAAAATCTCCTCTTCGTAAGCGATATCCTCTTGTGGCTAAAAATGAAAATTAACATAAGAATTTAGCATTTTTCAAAACAATATTTTGCTTAAACGTTTGCACGTCATAATGAATGAAAAGTTGGGTTAGTTTCGAATTAAAGTAATAAATAAATAGACTTTCACTTACAAAATCCACATCCATCGTCTGTGATTCTGGATTATCCGACATGTTTCACCGAAATATTCACAAATTGTTCATGAAGAAATTGAAAATATTGTGTTTGAATGGAAATTAAATGAAAACAATCACAATTGCCTTGGACATTCACCGCTTTCTGTGTGTGTAATTTGGTCGAAGCGGCATTTGTAAGCAACTAGTTCAAAGTGTCAAAAAATGGCCATTGGATTCGGTATGACAGTTAAGGCTGGTTGTCATTACACACAGTCATCGTAGTAAATGTGTGTATACACAGGCACGCAGTGCAAACGAATGGAATATGACCGTACGCAATGCGATTTGCAGTGTAAGAGTGAGCGAGAGTAACTGAGTGAATGGAACTGAGACCATTATATAAATCTATTTATACACGAAAACCATGGGCTCGCTCGCACACACACATTCACAAAGTGTCAATTTATGTTTATTTGCGACACTCAACTGATGATTCTCATATTGTTTTCATTTTTCTTCTTCACTCTCATCATTTCTAGGGAAAAAAACACTTACAGTTCTAATTTTAGCTACTTGATTTTGGTGCTCGATCCACATTATCGATACATAATTTCATCTTTTACTGGAATTTCAACGACCATGGTATCGTTTCTTGCACGGTCATAGAGAAAATCACAATCTCAACTATTTTTTTCCCGTCTTGTTCTCTTGGTGGTTGGTGTAAGGCACACTTTGATAAGGTACATGGTGTTTACGGTGCACTTGATTTCCATGCATATGGAATTTCATAGTCGTTGATCACTAATTAATTGGGATTGCGATGAATTAATCGATAATGTGATAGTTTAATTGGTGTTTATCATTTTTAGGCTAGCTGCAGTGGATAACAATTCAGCAAAAAATGTCGAATTCAAATGCATTTAGTAAAGCGCGGCAGCGTCGACGGTTGGCTGCGATAGCATTTCTCTCGAACATTTCGATGGATGGTACGCATCGGGACACAAAATGGGGAGCCCTCATGAATAAACGCCATAAGGAGAACAATTCCAAAGAAGATGTAGTCAATAATCATGTGATGACCAACGGTTCCGTTGGCACATCTCTATCGAAAGTTTTGCTAAGTGACAGTGACATCGTTTCGACGGATATTCAACCCATGATAACCAGAAGCAAATCCAGAAAATCCACACTACGCTCCATGGAACCGAGTCCCGATCGAATGTCGGAAAGCTCCGATTCGGATAGCCTGAAAATGCGCGTTTTTCAGACACCCATTCGAGATCGGTATGTGAAAACAGATTTTTTTCTTTGTTCAATGTGTGATTTTTCTTCCTCAAAACATATTCGAAGACCAGAGAACATTGCCTAATCATTTTTTTGCATTTCAGAACGATGACCGTTTGTGCGATAACAGCCCGCGAAATACCATCGATAGCAAGCGAGATGCGTACTCGATTATTTTCGACATCCAGTCGACCGAGTTCAACCACAACGGCAAAACGTGCTATCGGAATGGATGATAAAAAATACAGTGATCTCAGTAGTAATGAAAGCCTAACGCACGTTGGAAGTGCTGGCCGACTATCGCGCATCGTTCAAATTACCGAGCAAAAAGGCGATGTCAAACATGTATCTAGCTCAAATCGAGCACACAATTTCAAAGACGATCGAATCATACTAATGACGAACAAAGTGCCATTTTATATGTTCAGTAACATACCATTTTATAAGAATAGTAAAACTAGCGCTAGGTATGTGTGTAGACAATGCGATTTAGAACACAATTGATTTGACATTCAATTCTAATACAATATTTTCTATTGAAGAATCGAATTACGGAAGGATGGTGCAAGAAGAAGAAATACATCAGGGCCACGACCATTGTCAGCCATTAATGATGTTGCATTTGATGCATTCGATCTGTTGGGCATTGAAAAGAGTGAAAATGGACAGGAGAAATCGTATGGACATCTGCTGATACCATCGCGCCCGCAACAGAAAGAGAAGAAAAATCCATTCGGCATGCAAATTGAACCAAACCTTGAATTGACGGGACCACATGCACTCAAGAATTACGGCATTGCAAGGTATAACTCGAATATTATTTGAATTGATGTATTATTGCATTGAACGGGATTCAAGAGAACATTTTTTTTCTGATTACTAAATTGAGTTTATTTTGATTTATAAACGTTTTGGATAAGAACAGTGGAACAAATAGATTAACGAATGACAAATAGCGATGCCGTCTAATCCAATTTGTCCGTTCATTAGCGTTGAGCATGTGTTTTTTTCGGCTAAAAATAAATGTCCATATTGATGAAATGTTGTAATGTATATTCTAGGTATTATCCATTTGAAAATTACTCAAATGCTCGAAACATGAGCTTGACTAGTACGACGATTGGCAGCAACGAGAAGCAGACCAATGATGATCAATTCGATGTGGATGGAAAATTTAATATGGTAAATCGTTCATTCATTTATTTATAGGACAAAAGCGTTGACAAAAAACGAATTAAAAATAATTACTGATAACTTTTTTTTTTGCTCTGTTCATTTCCCAAATTTAGTATCAATATTCGGCAAATTTACTGGACGACCCGGAATTGATAGCGGGCAAACATCGAACCCTTCTCACATTTACATCGTACGTTACATCCGTTATCGACTATGTGAAGTCATCGGACTTGAAAAAAGAATTAAACGATAAGTTCCGTGAACGTTTCCCGCACATCCAGTTGACACTGAGTAAATTGCGAAGTTTAAAGCGTGAAATGCGTCGTATCAACAAAATGGACAGTCGAATTGATTTGCTCACCGTATCACAGGCCTATGTATACTTTGAAAAATTAATATTGGCCAATTTGATAAACAAAGAAAATCGAAAACTATGCGCTGGTTCTTGTCTATTGCTTAGCGCCAAATTGAATGACATCAAGGGTGAAGCACTGAAAAGTTTAATTGAGGTAATATTTTTTTTCTTTCAAATTCCATATAGATTTGTTTTTATTGAAATGATTTAGTTTCGGTAAACAGCAAATTTTATAACTAGCCATGTAAAAAAAAAATCAACATAAACATGTTTTTTAAATTAATTTTCCCGATTTATTGTCTTAATACAGAAAACAGAGAGCGTATTTCGGTTGAATCGCAAAGAGTTGCTGGCATCTGAGTTTGCTGTATTGGTTGCACTTGAATTCAGCCTGCACGTACCTATTGGCGAAATATTTCCCCACTATCAACGACTTGTCTATGAATCATAGAATTCGGCCACGAGCTGTGACGTTACGCTAAAAACGAAATGGACAATTCGAAACGACTCAGTTCAATTGAGATATTTTTGTACATTGATACCGCAAAGTTATTTGATACATATGGCTTAAAATGTAATAAACTGTAAAACGGAAACCAAAAAAAAAGATAAAAACCAACAAAATCCAAGATCTATGCTGAAAGCTCAAATTAATCATAATCTTGCGCGAGAATAAAATTTATCGAAGGGAAATAAAGAGTCAAGTAAAGAATGAAAAAAAAGTTTATTGAAAACAGCGTTTATTGTGAGAATGAACAGAAAAAACACGTACACACATTTTGTTTTTGCCAAATTTATGAGATAAATAAATCAACAAATTGTTTGCAATAAATATTATAAACATTTAAACATTGTTAAGAAAAATAGTGAAATTTGTTCGTTGAAAAAAAAATTTGTTTTCTTTTCCACTATCAAAAAGATTATCGAGTTTTTTTTGTATTGTTTTTTTTTTTTTTTTTTTTGTATAGAATATCAAGAGTTTACATGCAAATAAGGTACAGAAAATTTTAATCGAACAGTGAATGCAACTTAAATTTAACATAAAATATCGAGATGATGCTGCTTAAAGCAGAAAATAAAGGGAAAAGCCGTAAAGAGTTTGGTTTTTTGCTACAGAAATACCCATTCACTGTCACTACCTTCTTTAGTTGAGCTACCATTGGAACTCCCGTTGGCATCGCCGTTGTACTGATTTTCATCACATTTTTCGATTTTGATATCCCATAATTTGGGTAAGTTTGCTAGGCTAGAGAGATATTTTACAGTTTTTGGATCAGCAGTGACAGCAGGAGGTGGCTGTATTGGTTTCGGCGGTGAATTGACCGGAGTTCGATTATTGGCGCATTGTTTGATTGCATCTAGGCTATCGATTGCATCCGGTTCATCTTCATCGTCGTCGTCGTCTTCACTCGTCAACGAAACCTCCGAAAGTGGTGACTCTACGGAAATGCCATTGATAATTTGTTCTCCAAATGAATCACCATTATGAAATGTTCTCGATATTCGATTAGTTGGCCGATTTGTGTTTGGATACATGAGTTGTCCCAGTTCATATGATTTTTTCATGGGAACACCGTCGACAATTGATTTTCTAAACTGTGAATTATTCGAAAATGACCCTGATTGCCGGTTAAATAGATCGTTGCTTGGATAAGCTGGATAGCCCCATTCTACCGGCTTCAAATGTGTTTGCTCCTCCGGTGAACTTCTATGAGGCGATGCCAATTTTTCCTTCTTATTAGCGTTTTCTTTTCGATTGAACGTATCTCTTTGGTGTGATTTCAAGCTTTGATGTGAATTTAAACTTTGATAAGAACCAAAAATCTCCTTTTTCACTGCAATCGCAGTGGTTGCTCCGTTCTTCGTTTCTAGAGGTTTGTTTGGATCAGTATTCGCAATGGCTGATTCGAAGCCGTTGTTAAGGAAATCACAAAAACTTGCTTGCATCAAACACGGTTTGGTGGTCGATTCAGTGAATGAGCTTATTTCTGGTGGACGATCAATGATTTGCTGGTTGGTTTTATCGAATTCATTGGTTTGTTCGGTAAAAAATTCCGCTTGTCGTCCAATTTCGACCACTCCATCGATTTTCGCCTCATCACTCGACGTCGAATGAACCGATGTTTTCTTCTTTTTCTTTGTACCAGTTTGAAATAAGATCGATTCATCATAGTCTAATGTATTAATTTTCTCAAACACTTGCAATTTTTTGCTATGCTCAAGCAACAATTTGTCCTCTTTCAACAACTGATGTTCACCGATTCGACAGGCCAGTGGTACGTTCAAGTGAATTGTTTCAATTGGTGGCAATTCAAAGCATTCATCCGCTTGTGTGACCGTTTCTTCTTGGATTTCAATATTTGAATCGTTCATCATATTGTTATTGTTTGATGACACATATTGTGTACTGCCTGCCAATCCCAGGCCATCGGGTACGATCGATATGCGTACAATACTGCGACCACCTTCCACAATAAATATCTCATTGCCGTTGACCGTTAAATACTGTATGTTTCGTAAGCGCTTAATCGTAGCCATCACCTTAAGTTTTTCTAAATTCACTATAAATACCATAGATTCACAATAGGTCACAATGTATTTGCCCATATAGTAATGGCATGGCCCAAAGTATGTGTCTTTAATGTTCGTCACTTTGCTGTGTACGGGATTCAATAATGGCACTTCGAATATGGATCGAAATTCGTTGACGCTCTCTTTCAGCAGAAATGTATGTGACACGTTGCCGTCGACGTCGGCCATCCAAAAGCGAAAACCGGGCCGAGCGCCGATAACGGACGGCGGTTTACGATGATCAACATCGATTGGAGTGAATACTGCGCCGAAATCATTTAAAACTTTCCGATCCGTTCGTCCAATTTGTGACACTTGCCATTCATTCATTTCGTCTCGTTTACATACAACAGCACGGTACAGTGTCGACACCAGCAGATATGGATTGCAAAATTGCATTTGAACGATTCCGAATTTTTCATTGATCACCTCCATCGATTTGCAAATATGTTGACCAAAATCCAGTTCCGTCATTACAACAATGCCATGATTATCGCCGGAAAAGAGTTTCATGCCATTTTTCGACCATTCAACGCACGTAATTGCGCCGCGGTATACATCTTTGATGGTGTAACGTTCAATTGGTTTGAATGTTATCAGCGATGCGGCTATTTCATGTGACGCCAATTCGCTGGGCAACTCTTTTTGTATTTGAAATATGCTGACTTCACCGTGTGCATTGCCAGCCGCCACCATATATTCAACCGATGATACTAATCTGATGCATGTTATCGCTGCGGTTGACTGAAATGAGAGAGAAAATCAAGGTTTCAATTGCCGATTCGAATTTGACAACGCACGCGTGTGATAATTTTCAATTGAAACAAGCAAATGTGTGATGTTTTGTGCGATTGAAAACCGAGAACACAAACAATTACTTCCTTTCCCCAGGGCGTTCGTTATCAGACCCACTCATTGTCAATGCAGCAAAGACACACAAACAATACAACGCCCGTGACTCATGTTTGTTGATTTGTTCAGTGTGTCTCTGTCTCTTGCTATTAAAAAATAACAAGTTCCTTGTTTGCGTTGTCAGTTTTCACTTTGATTTTAAATCACGATAGCTTCTTCTCTTCAATCGATGCGTGTGTTGATTTTTTCCACCATTCATTTCATTTTGTGGGTCACGCAGGTCCAATCAAATAAATATTAATGAATTTACCTCGGTGCGTAGCTTTTGTACGTTGCCATTACGACGATTGTACCAGAATATGATGCCGACATCAGAGCCAATGGCCAAAAATTCGGGTAGCACATCGATGCATGTGATATTCAACTCTTGAAAAAAGAAACCTCGTTGGATTTTCGGCGGAATTTTCTCGAAAACATCTTTAGTGGGTTTCCATTCTCGTAAATTGTTTAAATCGAATTCGTCACTTTCCATTCAAACCGAAGCAATATGCTTGCACGTAAATACACAAGTTTTCGCTCTACTCGTCTTTTCGTATCTTTTTTTTTTATTGCAATTACACAAACACTAATGTTGTTGCTTGTTTTTTCTTTCTTGTCTTATTCAATTCGGTGACCAAATTCCGCAACACACGCTCTCTGGATCTAATTAGATCCGATTTCTTACGACGAAAACTATTCAAGACAAAGCCCTTCTCTTGCTCAAGCTGGTTGGCTGACTTCTATCTAATTTCACGCTGGACCTGGACAAATAAACAAAATAGACTCGAACCAAATTGACACTGGTTGTTTGTGATCTTGATGTCTGTATTATATACCAAATACATTCGCTTTTCGACAGTTCAGCTGTGTGTGTTTACGTTTCGTACCATATTTGAATAAATTGGATTTTATTTTTATGCACAACCGCCACATTCAACTCGGCTGTGTGATTAAATTCGACGGGATTTTTCACCAATTGTATAATTATTGTGGATGAAAGCCAATCATTCAATTCGCTTTCTTGTCGCAAGATTTTGTTCGTATTTTCATTGTTTCGGCTTTTGATTTTACTAAAAACATAATCCAAACAATATAGACTGAGTGTGGGCACCAGTGGTGCCAGCTGCAGATCAAATGTTGAAACATTCATGATTTGACGTTCCGGTCACGGTACAAGACGAAATCTGCAAAAGTGAATGATTTTTTTTTTTTCATAAAATTGCAATATTTTTGGTGTAAAATCGATTCGAAAATATTCTAATTTTTTTTTTCACATAAACTAGTCGCAAGAGCCTAGCATTAGTTTCGAACCAAGTGCCCATATTGTAACGGAAATTGTAAACCAGGTTTAATGCTCAAACAATCACCAATTGACGTTTCAATTCATGTACGTAAAAAGCATGCTTATTGAACTGTCAAACTCATTTAAAGCATGTTTTTGTGTTGCAAAATAGTCAACTGTTGTGAATATAACATTGGGATTTTTCGCTAAAAAATTAATTGAATTCAGAACAAATTTAAACGGTAGAATTTAAAACGGGAGAGCAAAAAATAAAGTAGTTAAAATGGCTGAAGGAAATGCTCAACACGATGCTGGCAAAACTAGCTATCGAAACAAATTGAAGAAGAGAAAAAAGAAATTCTTGGCCAATGTCAAGGGATTCGGTAAAACGGGAAATTTTGGTCGTGGAACGCACTTGGATAGCGATGAATGGAATTATTATATCAACATTTTGGATGCAATGAAACGAGGATTCGATTCGTTGGAAGACAAAAGTAAGTTGTGTGACAATCATGTGCTCTTTTCTCGACTTCAATTAGGAGTGTTTTAACTTCAATTCTTTTTGGTATTATTTCAGCGACAATGTCCGATAATGTGCTGGAGCAAACGATTGACAAGGAAATACATACATCGTCCAATCAAGTTGCGTGCACAATCATTGAGGCACTGTTGCCATATTCGAATGTGGAAAATTTTGAGCGTTTCCAAACCACGTTTGCCGCAAATTTCCGGCCAATTTGTTCGGATAAATTTTCATCACACATTCTTGAAAAAATAGTCGCTATTTCGATGTTACGCGGTGTCGGAGCGGATAATCCACCTGAATCAACATCGTCCGATGCACCGTTGGCAAAGAAACGAAAAACCGTCGAAATGCCGAGTGAACGTGAATACAATTTGACGACACAATTCACTGGCGAGCATCGTCAAACGTGTCGTGAGTTTGTGGTGAAGGCGAGCAAATTCTTGATGAATAATTTAGAAGATTTCGTATGGGATACGTATGGCAGTCACATTATGCGAACATGTTTCGATAGTTTGAGTGGTGTTTTTCAAGTAAAAAAGAGTTTCATTGTTGGCGGTCCAAGTCAGGAGAGCAAGAGTACGACCGATAAGAATCTGACGGTGCCCGATGAATGGCTGGAAATTCTACAAGAATACGCTAAACGATTGCAGGCATGGCCACAATTCCCCGACTTTCCGTACAATGAACTGTCGTCGGGATTGGTGCAGAGTTTGTGTACGGCATTGCACACACGAGACAAAAGTACAGTCAAACACATGGGCAAACGATTGTTAAACGAAGCATTTCTACCGACCGCTGCACAAGCCGAAACGTCCGATGAAAAGATGGACGTCAAAGAAAAATACGATATTGAGGATGGAAATGAAACTGAAACGAAACCAGATGTTGAAGTGGAAAAACCAGAAGTGGATGAGGAAAAATATGATCCGGCTGAAGGTGAAACGAGCCAACAAACTGAAGTCGAACCAATTGACAAGAATATGCCATCGGTTTTCACCGGCGAACCGGCCATTCGCTGTCTCGAAACGCTCATTCAAATCTCCGGACCAAAACTATTCACTCAAATCTATGCGATGCTCTTCTGTGGTCGTTTAGTAAAACTCAGCACAGGGCGATTGACCAACTTTAGTGTGCAAAAGCTGCTGGATCGTGTGAAAGAGAAAGAGGAATTTGAAGCGATATTCGACGAATTGGAGACATCGATTGAACAATTGCTTCAAATTGGTTACACCGGCGTCGTCAGTGCACTGGCACAGGCATGCTTGCGATTGTGCACACGCCAAGGCCCATTCATGAAAGCCATTCAAACCGCTTTGGATTGCGTGCAACCAAAGGAAAAAAGTGATAAATTCGCTATGCTCGTACTAAAACTGAAACCATACAAAGTTGCCATGGAAGATAAATCAAACTTCATTCACATACACGGTGCGGTCATTCTACAGGCCATGCTACAATTCAACAAACCAATCAAATTGGTGCAGTGTATTTTAGACACCGAAAACGCAACACTGACGGAAATCTTCTGTTCGCCGAAAGGATCACATGTTGTCGACGCATTTATGGACAGCAAAGCCGTGGGTGAAAAATCAAGGGAGAAACTCATTCGACATATGGACGGATGCTATTTACAAATGGCAATTTCAAAGCATGGATCATGGGCAGTGGAAAAGATGTTCAATTGCGCTAGTGATCCACTTAAAGCACGCATCGTTAAAGAACTCGGCGAGAAACAGAATCAATTGAATGGCAGTCCGTTTGGCAGACTTTTGAATCATAAATTCCATGTTGACACTTATCGACTTAGCCCCGAACAATGGCGTGCTTCCTTCAAGAAAGAAAGCAAAGCCGATCGCCTGTTTAAGGATATTTTGTAAATTATTGCTAGGGCAAATTTATTGATTCTAATAAAGACACAGATTTTATTGAAAAATGAACAAACTACTTTTTTTTTTAATGAATAGAAAGCGATTTTATTTTTAAAGGCTTACAATCTAAGCATAATTTGCGGAATTTTATTTTATTTCTCCAAAAAAAAAAGAAGGAAAAATGAGTTTTCGGAATTGGAGTATGAAACTTTTTAAAAACATGCATTCGATGAAAAAAACAACTCGTTTCATTAAACGTTTCTGCGTTAAAATCAAAATATTATTCATCGGACACTTCGCTCAATTCTAATATGGAGCCCCACTGTGCTGGCGTTATCGAAGAAACCGAAAGTCTTGGTTGCTTCAAAATGGTTAGCGACTGAAGATCGGGCGATTCCTTGAGCGTTTTCAATGTGACTGGATTTTTGAGCCGACGAACCGATTCGACATCAACTTCACCAAACTTTGGATCGTCATTGTGATAAAATTCCTTAACGATTTTCACAATGCCAACAATTGCCTTTTCCTTCTCGGTATGATAGTAGAATGCTAAATCTCCGCATTTCATTGCTTTCAAAAAGTTCTGGGCTTGATGATTGTGAATGCCATTCCAGGTAGTCTTTCCATCGGTTTCCATTTTTGACCACGGATAATCGCTTGGTTCAACCTTCAGTAGCCAGTATTGAGGTTCGTTTTTCGTCATTTTTCCGTATCACAAATGACCTGTTTCTGAACAATTTTTGCAACGTAATAAATGAGTGTGTTTTTTTATTGTGCTTCTTATTCCAAAATGTAATTTCAATTTATTTTATTATTTTCTTAAAAAAAAAAAAATCAACAAAAATTTCGCCGTAAAACCGTCGTAGCCGCAAAAAATCGAAAACAGTGCGTAGTACAAACTGACATTTAATCTTTCATTCCAATCAGTCGTTTTTTTCTGTCTGTCGAATGTAAACAAAGTCGATGTCGAACTTGTGTTTTGTGCACTGGAGCTATAGATGGAGTCACTGTAAATTCCATGTTGCATACGCGAGAAGAAAACATCATCAATTTCTATGCCTTTCAACTAATTACAGGTCTCCATATTGCTATTGTTAGTGTTTATTCGAGACAGTTTGTTGCTGTAGATATTTTTTGTCAATGCGTTTCGACGAACGAACGATACAAAAAAAAACTTTCACATTTCTGTATTGTATCGTTTCCACTTTCAATGTGTGCATTTGCTTTGGATAGTGTGATGTGCTGGTGATTTACAGTCTGTATTTTTACATCTTATTGACTGCCAGTTTCGGTGTGTTAATATATTTGTACGTGTGTGACATTTTCATGTTGTGTACAATTCGCTTGTCAATACACAACAAAAACTAACACCGTAGAACATTGAGTCCAGAATCGTGTAAAAGTGAAATCATCTGTGTTTTGCTGCTGGATTCAAAACCGATTTTATTTCTTTAACAACAACAAAAACTCTGTGTGTTTGACTGATGGACGAACGGCGCCACACACATACACTTCATCTATAATTAAAAATGCAGTGAAACTAAATTAGATTATTAATAAGTGAAAACATCACCCAAACAACGACGATTAATGCGAATTCATTTGCATATTCTGTTCGACAAACAGCAACAAGACGCGCAGAAAAATACCGAAATTTCAATAATCCACAAATGATTAAATTGGAAGGGAAACACACATCACACGACATGCATTCGACTATCGCTTTACCAAATCGTCGAATCAAAATTTATAATGTTACATTTTTACCATAGATTCTTATTTTACGTTCGTTCCATGTGATATTTTTCTGCTTTAGTTAGTATTATTGAGTCGTTTCCATTTTGTTGTTGTTCGGCTTGTACTTAATATTTAAACGCGCGTGGAATAAAATAGATGAATGCCGCGGTCCGAGACCGAATAAGAATTTTTTTTTTTGGATATTAAACGATTTGACGGTGATCAAACCAAAAATCAAATCAAGATTCTGTTGGAATTAATCGCGGCGTGAATTTTTTTTCTGCCCGAAGAAAAATGTTGACGTCAAAACCGTCGAAAGTGGCCAGAGTGGTCATTTGTGGCATGAAAAGTGTGGGAAAAACGGCAATACTGGAACAACTCATCTATGGTAGCATTACACCGGACACTGTAAGTGTGACATGGTCATTGTCATTCATTTTGCTGTCGTGTTTTAGTTGTGTTAATTTTTCGGCTTTCTTTTTTGTTAATTTTCACAGGAACTTCATCCAACGATAGAGGATACGTATGTAGCAAGTGTTGATACGGGACGAGGATCAAGAGATATTTTACGCATTTATGACACAGCCGGCTTACAAGGAACCGTACAGGTACGCAAATCATTGCTAAGCAAAATTAATCGGTGGAATTTCACCTCCGGAAAAGTGATAACAACAAGTGTAAATAGTCGATTTGAGTCAATGTTAACTGTCATCACAAGACATGAATCACTTCGTTGAAGTTCTTTCGATAAGAATGATTGTGTAGTAGAAATAAGTTACAGAGAACTACAAAATAACAGTCACTTCACAACTGTAACAAACATTCTTCAATATTCACATTGAATCATTGAATCATTGAATGCACATGTAATATTCGCGTGTACTTCATGTTCATGCACTATTTTTGTATCACTGTTTCGCTTCTCATAGCATATTTACGATATAAATGCTAATGGTTATCATTTTGCAGCTGCCACGGCATTACTTACAATTTCCGGACGGGTTTGTGCTGGTGTACGACCCTTGTGACCCAACCAGTTTGGATATGTTGGCGTACATTAAGAGTGACATTGATAAAAATAAAGATAAAAAAGACGTAACGTATCATCCATTCCAACCACATTTGGTCATCATTTGTGAAATAATTACTAAACGGATATAACTGATTCTATTTCTTTTCTCTGCTATTGCTGCTGCTGCTGCTGCTGCCCACCTTGTGCTTTGCAGGTTTGCGCTATCGTTATTGCGAATATGCATGTGAAAAGTAATCGATTGAATGCGATTGATCCGACCGAATCAATAAATCGTGCCAATAATTGGTGTGAACGTGAACGTATCAAACATTATACGGTAAACGCAATGGAACGTGCATCACTGTATGAACCGTTCATTGGATTGGCTGTGCGATTGCATCCACCTCAAACCAAAACTACTTTTCCACAGTTACGTCAATTAACCCAGAAAACCTCAAAGGCTGACAACAATTGAAACTCCTCAGACGAAGAAAATACACAAAACAAAAATGAAACGGATATAAAACGCATCACGCAATGCATTAAAAAAAAAAACTATTTATTTTCTTCTATTGTATTTATCTTTTGATTTCTTATATTTAAAAAAAAAAAAACAAATAATTGTACTTATGATAACAATAACAACAAAAACACACACGGACACACAAAGTGCTTTGGAAACTTTTGTGGAAAAAGCATAGATTTTTTTTTTGTCTTCTGTTTCATTCGAATTTGGTTGTTGAAAAATTAAAAAAAAAATCGAATTTTTTTTTCTAGTTTTTAAGACAAATTATTAACACAAAGACGTAGTAGAATAAAAATCAAAATGCAAATATAAGTCGATCGTTTTACATTGTTGGTTTTTTTTTGTTGTCGTTTGGAACAAAGTTTGTTAGAAACTAGAGTATAGCGCAAGAACAAGGAATAGTGATCGAATTTGACTTATGTTCACCATTTCAGGAGGTATTTCAGTTTTCGCAGAATGATTCGTGTATTGAAAGCTTCGTCCCACATCGAACTACTGATGCCAAACCCCTTGTCGTGATGCACAAAATGATGCTGATAATGATAGCGTTTCATGTAATACAGATGTCCACCGGATGGGCTACCATGATGAATGTAGTAATGCATCATGTCATAACATAGGTAACCTGAAATGAAGATATTTGGTACAAGATTCATCACAAGTAGCCATTTCGAGTATTTTTAGGCAAAATTCACATTTTCAATTGAGTTTTATTCACCCATTTTCACTTGCAAAATATTTTCATTCAACTCATTTCCTAGTAGAAAATTTCTACCGGCCGTTCGATTTTTCGAATGTTTGATGGAAAATGAGTTTAATAAAAATGAGAAAAAGATGAAAATTCCAGTTGAATTGTCATCGCTTACCAAACAGCCCACCAGCAAAAATAAGCTTTGGATTATGTAGAAAAACTTGAATGGGTATATAAATAATGGTGGCTAAGATAGTGGCTGGAAACGGTGGAAATACCAGTCGATATGGATCGAACGGTACTTTGTGATGGAGTCCATGCAGTAGAAAATGAAACGTACACACAGTGCCACTCTGATGCGATGAATCCAAATGGAATACCCAACGATGCAACGAATATTCCAGTAATGTCCATAAAAATATGCCGAGTGCCAGTTGCCATACGATGAATCCCTTTTTTGCGAGACACATGCTAATTAGCTTAATTTTTTTTCTTTTTTCAATAAATAGTAAGTGTATTCATGACGAATGAGCGAATGTTTTGTTGTTCAAAATTCATTCAAAAGCATGCGCTTACATTGCTGTTGTGTTTGCTGTGTGCATCATTAATGCCGATCTTTATCAGAAAAACAATGATCGGGATCCAGAATGTCGGCACTAGCCACCATGGTGTTTTTGTTAGCATCTCTAATAGAGTTGTATCGAATAATCGCAAAGGCCGGTCGACAGGCTTATTCACCCATTCGCTGTAATTAACGCCAAGGCTGCCAATCTGCGCTATCATGCCACGCGACCAATCAACTAAATGCTAAAAATAGTATACAATTGCGAATTGAATTTATTTGGCGAACACTGAAATCAATAACAGAAAAATTAGAAAACAAAATTTAAAAAAAGCTCAAAATGTAGTATGCGAAGAAGCGCGCGCGCGTGCGTGAGTGCGCTTACTTCTCAAGAATTTGGATTCGAACACAATGAGCCAATTTGCATAAATGCACCGAATAAAATTTCTATTGTTGCAACGTTACGAAGCACCGTCGACAAAATTGATTCTCCGTAGCGGCAATGTGATATACTTCACCTGTTTTTCGTTGCCTTTTTCACTCGTTTTCAATCAGGTATAAAATAATTGAAAGCAAGAATGAAATCAGAATATTAATTTACCTCCATGCTATCGTCAGTTCTTATAAGATGTTCGGCACTATCGTCACGCCCATTCGGTTTGTGCTTGAAAATTTCTTCATAACTGTTTTGCTCGTTCAATACATCACTATCGAATTTATTGTGGCGGCTGTTTTCGTCGACGTCGTCGTCATCATTATTGCCGCCGTGGTCGTTGTAGTTATTGTTGTTGTTTATTTGGCTTGATACACGGTATTCTTTCAATAAGTATTTGGCTGCTTGTGAATGTGGCATTGCCGTTTCGAATTTGTAATCAATATCGGAATTAAGTGCTGCACTTAGTGTATTTTTACCGCCTGGATGTTTGTGTGCAAATTGTGTCAAATCAAAGGTTTCATTTTTATAACGCACCAATAATTTGGCGGATTCAGCCTCTTGATTGTCACTCATTGTCGTTCGTTTTCTTCGCTCACTTTGTGTGTTTCGCACCGATAACATCGACTGTAACACAGAAACAGAAAAAAAGTTATTCAAAACTATTTATTCACATCTATTTTACAGTTTGTAAAGCTCTCTCGTCGGTCGGTTATTGGTTCATTCGATTCGTGGCGATTCACTTTTATTTTTATCTAGCTCAACTTTATGGGAACCGTTTTGCGCTTTTATTATTCAAAAATTATTTTTGTTTGTTTATTCCAATTTCGTTTTTCAAGCGTTAAAATTCCACGAGCGAATTGGTGTGACATTGTTCACTTTGTTAAAGTTTGTATACTACAGAGAAGCAAAATAGACGAAAGAGAAAGAGAAAAGTAGCAACAAAAGGGACCATTTCATAATATGCACACGGCAGAGGAAATAAAGCCACTCATTTCAAAATTACATGAACGACAAAACGACGACGTCCGTTTGGCGTCCGTTTCAATACACACCACTTTCAAGTCGATTATCCGTATCGCTTAATACACCGTAATAATAGTAGACGCCAATTTCATACTATTTTCTTGATTAATAATTTAATTTTTCGATTGATTTTCTGCACGCTGGCTTGTTCTCGATTGTGTGTCCTCTCACTGTGTCTGTGCCGCTCTGTGGCCGTTGTTGTTGTTTCTCCCTTTCTCTCTCTCTTTTCTTTTCATTTCTCTTCTCTCTCTATCTGCCGCGTTTCGTTTCGTTCTACATATGAGTAGATCGCCATTGCGATTGGCGCGCCGATGAATTTCCACTTCACTTTTATTTGCCCATTTCGGTGATGGTGTACAAAATTTATGTTAATGCAATTGCAATGGCAATGCTGCCTATCAAAATTATTCCATTAACTAGCCGCGGTCGAACCGAACACACACCGTCCTTTTCAATTGACTTCACAATTGCAACTTTGGAAATTTTTTAACGTGCAGTTCAACGTGGATCGAAGAGAAAAGAAAAAAAACGCAACACAACTCGTTAATACTTCAACCGATAATATCCTTTGTACGCGCGCGGGGCCATTACAACAAAATACACAACAATTGAAAAATAATTAATAATGAAACAGAGGAAAAAAATACACGGCTCGACCGTTTCGATCTAACACTTTGGAATTGTTTAGTTGAGAAAAAAAAATGGAAACGTATACAGCCGCGGCTTTGATAAGCTCAAGTTGAATGTTGACTTCGATTATGATATAACGCGTGTGTGCACGGAATTTTTTTTATGGACTATACTGAACGATTATATCCGTTCATTCGGTTTTATTCATTTTTTTTATTACAGTTTTCATTGCACGATTTAAGTTTTACACGATGATTTTTGGTTCGAATCGAGTCTGGTATTTTTACAAGATTTGAATAAATAGAATGTGATGTCATAGGAATTAATTAATTTTTAAATCGTGTTCAAACCATATGGATACTTGTTGATAAAATCAAATGAAGCACTAAATTTTCTTCAAATTCCGATTTCGACATTGATTTTCAAGATAAAGTACCATTCAATCAACATGATTTATATCCAAGTCATATATGCTCAAGACTCGAGTGTACACAATTCATATATCACGAATATCGTTGAGAATATGAAAAAAAAACACAAAAATTAATTACAGAATTTCCATGGGCCAATCCGCTGATGAAGGTGCACTCGATACAAATCGACGAAAAACCAAACAACAACACACTAATAAAAAAAAATCAAAACACAGTTGATGAAATTTTCACTTCCGGATCTCGTGTGAGTTTTATCGTCACTGCACCACCAGAAAAACCGAATGTTAGGCGGCGATATGTATTAGTTTCTAGTTTTAATTTTATTTGCTCACTTTTCGTCGAGCTATTCAGTTCATTTCGAATAATGGCAATTGAGATAAGTTTCAGCCTTCTATTAGCAATTGCTCTAAATCGCGCGATGAGTCGTGACTAATTGAAATTAATAAAAATGTGCTTTTACGCGATATCGATTGTCATGAAGGTGTACGAACAGACGCAGGCACACACATACACACATTTCAAAATCAATTTAATACGGAAATTAATTTTTTTTCTATTCAATTAAAACTTGTAATATTTCTTTCTGTTTTGGCTATAATTATTTACAAACAAACTTGTACGCCTAATAACAGCAACAATATGATGTTAAAATGCGACGGTGTTTTGTAGCTCAATATGGTACACACATGACATATCTGATGATGAACCTAAAAGTTTAACGATAAAATTGTTGTCACCCAAATACCGGCGAAGAAAATGATTATATTCTCATGTTGAAAATACAGGAGAGGAAGAACAAGAAGCATAGGAGAAAAATCTACTCAAAAAAAAATATGATTTGTAAGTGGATCCACCTTAATTTACAGGTAGACACATCTCGGGGACGGACCGATACATTGACGCGCTCTTGACCCCAAAAAAATCAACGACTAATTATGCACTTGCATCGATTCCGGATTCAACAGCAAAAATTGTGATTTTGAAATAAATAAAGGAGTGTTTGCAATTATTCGGTTCGAATCCAAACTTATCCAAGCAGAGACAGTTGATTTGGCTCCCAGAAATGTGAGAATATTCTAAATAAACCATATTTTATGAATATTTAGTTCAAAAATATAATTTCCATAATTTTCTACTTCAATCATAGTAAAGCCAACTTAGTATTGACTTCTACCGCTTTGTTCAGCACAACTTTCATTTGAAATTACGATATTCATGGATATTTTAATCATGAGTCATGACAGAATTTTTAATATGCAACGTTTTCTGATCTATGATCTACTTTGATGTCATTCGAATGGGTTGCGCTTTATTAATAAACCTTTCTAGTTGATTGTGTGCCAATGATTGTCAGTAGATGTGGTTTTGATTTTTATAATGAATTTTAATGATGCAACAAATAAATTCAACAATCGTTTTATGAATGATTTGATTCGAAAGGAATTGAAAAGATTTCAAATACTTACATTGAAATGTGTCAAATTTTAGCTTAAAGAGGTGCAGTAAGATAGAGAGTTCTTCTATCAGAAGACAGAAAAAAGAAGCTCGGACCGTTCGAAGTGCGTCTCTGAGTATTGGCGTTTTTCTTTCTCGCGGTGTCTGTTCCATTTGATGTCTTGATATTGTTTGCTTTTATGATAATTTTGGAGATATTGAGCTGATAACGAAGGGGAAAAAATATCACTCTCGGTATGAGCACTTTCTAGCTGCGTTTCCTGTCACGCAATACTCAGTTGTGTATTGTAAGTGTGTATGTGTGTTTAGTTCTGTCTCTGCGCCACTTGTCGCGTGCATTAATTTACAAAAAGCTATGTAAAAATCCAATTCGCACGTCATCAATGAATAAAGCCTGACGTAAAAAGTCTTAAAGCCGATTTTAATGGAAATATATAATATTAAAATGCTAATTGGCAATTGACTTAAGATAAAGCAATCATTCATCGATTGTGTCATTCCTCAATACTGCTTATTATTTGCCGCATTGCTGAAATGAATCATCATGATGAAGACTTAAATAAGGGAAAACAGTTAAATTTTATGACAATAGTGCTCAAGATTCGAAATCTCGCCATTAAAAACATTCGATTTGTGTGTGGTTTCGTTTTTGTTTGGTTTTGACTTTTAAATAAAATAATTTATTTTCGATTTTATAAATTGACTACATCTAAAAGCACAGTTTAATTTAAAATTAAAATTACATCCTCTTTTGCTACACTATTCCTGGATATGAAGATTTATTTTTAATTTTTTTTTCCGCTTGAAATAATTTCACTTTCATTCCATTCGACCGATAAATAAATTCATTTGGAAAGAAAAAACGGCATCAAATTTCGCAACTGTTTATTTGGAGCAGAAGAAATGTGGCGTTTTCAGCGGAATGCCCGTTGGCCCATCGGAAAATTCGCAAAAATTGAGACCAAGTTTTTTCAATGGATGACATTTGCTCTTTGGATTACCCCATCGACCGTTGAATCGTAGCCATTCGGGTCCGATTGAACGGCCGCTTCTTTCGCTATCAAACGAAATTTCCACCTGTTTCCATGTCGGCCACGCCGTACCAAAGCCATTCACATCAAATAATCGCGCGACACGCACAAATCGATGTTTACCTGGTGCCGTCCATAGACCGTGCGAACCTTGAGCCGAAAACAAAACCGGATGATTCTTCGATGTGACAACGGTGCGCGGAAAGTTCGGATGCTGTAAAATGCCTTTGCGCGTTTCTTGTCGACGAAAATCAAATGTTCCCGTCAATCGTTCGTATTGATAGTAGGCGCCCGCATCATGTGCCGACACATACATTTGATCGGGCTCTTTGCGTCCATTGAAATACAGGGTCATATGCTCCCAATCGCCTACATGGCTGCCAAAATCCTTTTTTGTGCCCAGGCAAATGCCGAATATTTGCGGAATTGGCAAATTCCCAAATGGACCCAGACTTAATGTGCAGATAGATTTACCCTATGACCGAAATAAAATTTTATTTTAAATCAAACTCACTGCAGCTTATTTTATTTGAATTTGAAAAAAAATAACCTGATGAATTTACCTGACTATATGGATAAAACATCCAATAGGTGACGTGAAAACTAGGATATGAGTTGTCTGATGATGAATCAGTTGGCTTAGCAACTGAATCGATCGTATCATAAGTCTCATTTTGCTCAACGGTTTCATTCAATTCATTGGATATTGTCTGCGATGTGCTTGGCATTGATTCCGTTGTCTTTGCTGCATCATCCATCGGAATGACTGTCGTGGATTCTTGCAAATCACGCTTGTGCCGCTGCATTGTCGCATTTATTGTTGTATTTTTAGCATCAGGTACGGCAGTTCGTTCAAATTGAAAACTATTCGATTGAACCACCGGACGCGGTACAATGGATAGATTCTTTTTCGTTCGGGTGAATGTACTTTTTAGCAGTGGATTCGATACAGGTATATATGTAGCTTGATGACGGCCAATCTTTGAATCAATTAAATTCGATTGAATATCTGCAATGCAACAAACAAATGATATTGATTTACTGATAAATTTCCCAGAATCAATAAATATTTGCTCCGTTTCAACTTGTCTTACCTTCCGGTTCATTTTCTAACGGTTGTGAATTGCATAGTGTAACCATTGCATAAATGGGAATGTTTCCTGTGCTTGGACTTTGGCCATAAATAAATGAGCTTTGATCGGCTAATAAATCATCTAGAAGAAATAAACATAAATAATCATTGCAATTTTCTTCTGAGGCTTTTTCCATTTACTCTTCCGCACACCCATGTTGTGCGTACAAGTATTTTTGTTTGCAAACCGAAGACGAAAATTCCATTTTTGTTCCAATTGGCGATCAAAAGTAAAAACGAATTAATGATCGTCATAAAAGACGGTGTTGACTTGACGTAAAATCAAGTATCACCTCAATATTATGAACGAAATAGAATTTTGCTTTCTTTCTTTCATCCCCTTTGGCTTCGGCCAGAGTAAATAAAATTATATTTATCGAGAAAGAAATTAAGTATGAAAATGGGCTAGCGGTCATAAGTCCACAAAATTGTCCATCCATCCATTCATCCATTGATTTATCCATCCATTCAACATATGAATGGATGGATGGAGAATGGATGATGAATGGATGATGAATGGACGATGAATGGACGATGAATGGACGATGAATGGATGATGAATGGATGATGAATGGATGATGAATGGACGATGAATGGACGATGAATGGACGATGAATGGACGATGAATGGATGATGAATGGACGATGAATGGATGTATGGATGGATAGTTAATATGAAGAGCAGAATAGCCGATTCGTCAAGAAGGTCAAACTGCAGAGTGAATGGATGGACGGATGCATGGATAGTTAATATAAAGAACAGAATAGCCGA